CCCCTCTGCTGGGAGGAAAGGCTGGGAGAGCTGGGGCTGCTCAGCCTGGGGAGGAGAAGGCTGCGGGGAGGCCCTAGAGCAGCTGCCAGTGCTTCAAGGGGGCTTGTGGGAAAGGTGGGGACGGGGTTTTTAGCAGGGCCTGTAGTGATAGCACAGGGGGTGATGGCTTTAAACTAAGGGAGGGGAGCTTCAGACTGGATATAAGGAGGAAATGTTTTACACTGAGGGTGGTGAAACCCTGGCACAGGCTGCCCAGAGAGGTGGGAGATGCCCCATCCCTGGGAACATCCCAGGCCGGGTTGGATGGGGCTCTGAGCAGCCTGGTCTGGCTGAAGATGCCCCTGCTCACTGCAGGGGGTTGGGCTGGGTGGCCTCTAAATGTCCCTTCCAACCCAAAGCATTCTGTGATTCTGTGATTCCCCCTTGAAGAAACATTTGGAAATTGTGTTAGTTAACTTGTTGAACACTCACCAAACTGATGATTGGAACAACTAACCTGGACATGTCCATTAACCCGTATCACAGACTGAGCTCCAAGCCAGGATCCAGCAAGGATGGTGCTGTGCCTTTGGAATGGGTTGGCTTTAGCTCTGAAATACTTGTTAGTGTTCCCATACATGAATGGAGTAACTCATGGCATGTTGCAGGACAGGAGAATTGCGCACACACCGTACCACGTACTGTCGGCATCTGAGCAGAAAGTTTTTCAAATGTGCCGATTGCTGCTGGAACACATTACAGCGAAGCTCCGTGAGCGTGTCATTCTGAAAGAGAAAGAGTGGGATCGAGAAGAGCTGAGAAGATCCAGGAAATGTTAGTTCCAGCCTACGGGTAGTTCGAGATTAAGGGTAACATCACCTGGTATGAAGGGGAATTTATTGTTATAATTCCAGTGTTACTGTCTGAAAAGGTAACTCCTGATAAAAACTGCTCCTGTGTTTTTGGTAAGGAGATGTAGGGATTCGACAAACATTAAAAGAGAATGAACAAGGCATTGTGAAAAAATCTGAATGTGAGTTTAGTGGCTGTCAGCAGCTTCCTGATAAATCCCTGTACAAGATCTGTTACTGTGTGTGAAGGGGTGGCTGGGGGAGCTTTCTCCTCTTTCATGGGAGAACCTTGGAATGGCTTCGCATTTAGTGCGAGGAACAGGATGCATGCAATGGGGACTGCGGACGTTCAGTGTGTATTCATTCCTTATGGCAACTTACCCTCAGGTCCTTTCCTAACACTCCCATTCCATCAATGCTCGTGCTGTAGAGTAGCAACAATGAATATATATAAATTAAGATAATGTGAGCTACATCCTCAGTAGTGCTCAAATGTGTGGTGAAATCAGGCTCAGAGTCTAGGTCTCTGAATACCAGTCTTTGGGGCAGAGGATGTGTCGCACGTGGGAAGTGAAGTCTGAACATAAGGTTGTTCCTTTGCACTTCAGCGTAACCTGTGCCTCTGTGGCTTGTCACAAGCAGGAGGTCTGAGTAAATTAATCTGTGTGGTTTCTTCCTCCTGGCTGTGAAGTGGCAACTTGACTCCTTTTTCTTAGCTTCTGAAGCTTGTTGATGGAAGATGCGTATTATTATGTATATTCAAATTTTATACAGTAGACAGAGCCAATCAGACTTTTAATGAGGGTGGGTCTTGTGACCAGTATGATCATTCTCAAGCCAGAACACTGATTTTTATATTCCCCCATGCCCCATTTTGTTGGTGTAGCAGGTTCGCATTCGTGTTTCAAAGAAGAAAGCGGGGAGCCATCATGTGGAAGAAGCGAGGTAGGGCACAGAAAGTATTGACTGTCCTTAGTCAAAAATACCATGCTTTGGTTTTTTTCTCACCAAAACTATTGTCACCCTCCCATTTTTCTCCTTACTAATTTTCCTCTCCAGTCTATCCAGACTTACTGGCTGCAGTTCGCTTCTGTCTCTGCTCCGATCACATCGCTCCTTTTCAGCTCTTGACTTTGCCAGGAGAGTCTGCACAATACTCAGTCTTCTTGCGGGAAGCAGCGTGTCCTTGTGTTTCAAACCAATTCCTGACATCAGTGCCTTAGAGTAGCATGCAAGTGCTAAGAAATAGGCCCGTACAAATTTTGTAGCTTACTTTTCTCCAGAAATTGCAGGAACGACTTGTACTATTTGAATGTTACTCTTGGAACTGTGTGTTAACAAAAGTTTGAATCATAATGGAAATACTTGCCTCAGGGATGCTGAATTCTGTCATCAGTTTCTCCTCCTGCAGGGAATTCTCAGGCTTCCGAGCTTTGTCTCAGTGTTTGAATCAAGAGGCCGTAACATGGGTGTCGGGAGCTGGGGGGCTTTTGAAGACAGAAATTTGGAGGTCGCATTTTTTTTGAACCAAGATGGATCAATGATAGCATAAGATGCAGAAATAGCCAGAAGAATGTGAAGTGAGCTAAAATAAAATCCAGAAGGTTAAAGTAGCACACAAATGTTTTACAAATAGACCTCAGCAAGGACTAGCAGAGACAGATGAAACCTCTGTGAACCTTGGTAGCTACTGGGAAAAGATTCTTAAATGCTTTGAAAGAGATGTAAATACGTAACCTGGCTTGCACTTGGGTGTGACGTTCCACTTCCCAGTCCCACTGAAAGCCTTAGCCCAGGTACTCTTCATTTTACGTTCCAATATTGGAGTAACTGTGGTGCTGCAGTGTCCTGTGAGCACCCCTGCTTGTCTCTGCAGTATTCCAGTGGGGTCTGTGAGTGCTTTTTGAAGTTTGCCAGCTTTGCTCTGTTGTCTCTTGCCAGATTAGGATCTGGTCTGCCCGCCAGTTTGAAAACGGGCATCTGCAAAGTCAGTGTCACGAGTGCACTAAGGAGTGTGCTGGTGTGGATGTCAGTTTGGGAAAGGCTGGGGCACGCTTCTCCCGAGTACACTGGGCTTCTCGGGGGGCTCACGTTGCAGCTGGTGTGCAGTCTGTTCCCAGAGACTCCTGCCATCAGCTACAGAGTCTCCTGTTTCTTTATTGTTCAGCATTTCTGTTGAACATTATTTCTGTACGGTAGCCATTCTGATTTAGTTTTACTGTGATCTGAATACATGCTGTCGGCTTGAGGAAAACCCTAAACAAACAATAATGTGTTTTTATTTTACAACTACCTTTGTCCTAGATTACCATTCTTTAAGTACTGCTACCAGTGCGGGCGGTCGGCTGGTGTTCAGCTGTCACTCTGCATGTGCTGCCACGACGTCTTCACGTGCAGTGAGGCTTGCAGAAGGAGATCCTGGCACGAGCGGCATCGGCAGGAGTGCTTGCGGCTGCTGGGTGAGTCTGGCTGGCTTTACCGTGGGAGGGCAGTGGTTTGTGCCCATGTGCTGGCCTGAGTATGTCTGTGTTGTAATGGACCAGTAAAATGTATTTTATGAAGGAATTTAAGTAGAAAGGATCCATTCATTCTCTTGAACAGCTGTGTTTTTGTAAACCCATCAGCTTTAGGAGCTGCTACTTTGTCATTACTCTCAGTTCCAAGAGAATCTTTAAGCTGAGCGCAGAGCAAAAGAAAGTCTCTGAGACTGAAGGTAGCTGCTGTGGACATCAACAGACAACCTTCCAGGCTCAAGGACCACAATAGATCTAACAAGCTAGGCAGAGTGGAGCTTTCCATGCAAACTCTACCTCTTAATCACCTCTGTCTGTATATTAGAAGAGAAATCAATGTAGTTTCTGACTTTTATGAATGGAATTGTTGATACCACACTACTGTGGTTCTTGGAAACCACACCTGTGGTGATAAAAGAGACAGATTATTTTCTCAGCAATAAGCAAACTTCTTTTTAAGTCATGTCTTCATTTCTAGTTAATTTTAAGGTAGAAAGGCTTTTGTTTGATCCTTTGTTTTTTTTCTTTTTTCTCTCCCATGGTTGCTCATAATTTAAAATCACCTGAAATTCCCTAACTCAGAGCAGTTTGAGCAATCCAGTCTGCTGCTGTGAGAGCCTCTGATGCCTCTGCCCTGATCCCTGGGCTTTTCTCTGAAGGGCAATGTGATGAACGTTTGTTTTGTACCGCATGCGCAAAGCTCTCAATAACTAATAACTAATCAGGATCAATACATTCTCAGATATGTTTTCTAGAAGAAACAAGTATTGTTTGCTAGGAGGGTCATCGCTAAGCGAGAAGGTGGCCATGGCTGCCTGAGAGCTGTGGCTGTTAACATCACGTTGGATACACTATGCCAAAACAGGAACTTCCCCAAGTCTTGTACCCACTTCCAGTTTATTGCTCCAGAGAAAAGGAAGGTCACCCAAAGAAATATGGCTTGTTTGGGTTTTTTTTCTTTTTTTTCTTTTCCCAGAGAAGAGCACTGGTCAAGTGGCTCAGGGTGCAAGCAGTGCAGGATGCAAAAAGAATGTCACAGGCAAAAAGGGGGAAAATGAAAGAGAAGAAAGACATGCAGAGCAGAGCAGGCTGCACAGCACTGCGTCCAGGCGGGGCTTGAATATCTCCAGAGAAGGAGACTCCACAGCCTCCCTGGGCAGCCTGGGCCAGGGCTCCACAGAATCACAGAATGGTAGGGGTTGGAAGGGACCTCTACTATGGTTCCTGACGCAGCGAACACTAATTGCTGACTAGCACTACCATAAGTATTTCTGCTGTGGCAGGAAAGTCACCAGCGCCCACGGCAGAGCAGGGATAGTGACATGGCCATTGCTTTAGACACCGTGTTAGGGACGTGCGAGCCATGTTGTGAACAAGCGTGACAAAAGCAGCAATACGATGCTTCGGTGATTCACCTGCACTTCGTCCGATGGCAGGGCCTCAACAGAGGCATCACCGATGTTATGGGCGTAGATGACATTGCTCACAAAAGTATCATAAACAGTATCAGAAACCAGCCCAAAGTCATCGCTAGCATCAATGTCTTTGTCACTGGTGATGTCATTCCTGTTGGTGGCACCACTGCTGAGTGACAGTCACATCATCAACGCCCGCAGCGTCACGCAGGACAGCACTGAGGTCCACCAGGAGCTGGGACAGCTTTCCCTTTCCTTGGGGCTGGGGACAGAGATAGCTTTGCTGGGGCTGGGGACGGGAACAGCTCTGCCCCAGGGCTGGGGACAGCTGTGGCCCGGCTGGCAGCTTGGAGGCACCCAGTCCCTGCGTCTGGCTATGGGAGCAGTGGTGGCATTGCTGGGGAGGCTGGGGACACCTGTCCCTGGGGTTGTGACAGCAATGGCTGTGGCAGCTGGACTGGAGACACCCTGTCCCTGACTATAGGTGGGGATGGAGCTCGCCCTGCAAGGGGTGGGTTTGGGGACAGCCTTGTTCCTGGACTTGGTGGAGGGCAGTGGCCCTGCCAGTGCTCACAGCCTCACTCTTTCTGTTCCAGCTCCGGTGCCGTGAAACCAAGATCTGTGTGTGGTGATTATGGCCCCAAGGCTGTTCTGAAATGTCCACTACTGTCCCCAGCCACCCTCAGATCTCCCCTTTACCCCATTCTCAACTGTCTCCAATTGTCCCTGCATCCTTCCTGCCCCTTATTTTATCTCCCAGGACTCCCCAGGTCCTTGTGGTCACAACTGTCTAGCTGGATCCCCTGATACTCAACTGTCTTCCTGCACCCCCGCCCCAACTCCACTGTCCCCATCTTCCTGCATGTCCTGTCCCCTTCTCCCTGCCATCCCCTTGTTTAGCCCTGTCCCTGCAGGAAGGACCTGGATGCGGTGGCCATGGAACAACTTGAGACAGCCCCAACAGTCCAGGATCGATGGGTGTGAGTGAGAGTGTGCCAGCAAATGTTTACATTCATTCCCAGTTAAAACCAGCATTTCAGCCTGCTCCAAAATCCCACAGAACAGACAAGCTTTCAAGGTCCATACGTCCTGTATCAGCTGGGTGCATCTCCCCTGAAGCAGCTGCACGGATGTAAATTAAACACTGTCCCTGCAGCCTAAGAATTTCTGGCACATATCACCGGCATCCTGGCCCTAGGACAGTGGTTGGGTCCAGGGGAGGGGGTGATGTGCTGCGGGGCTGGGGTGATGGCCCCAGCTATATGCTGGGACTGGGGCAGGCCAGGCTGGACCTGTGATATGATGATGGGGCTGGGCCAAGGTGTGACAAAAGCTGCAGGTGGGGATGGGCTGGGGCAGCCCCAGGTGCGGCTGATGATGCTGAAGATGGGGCCAGCCCTGCTGTGCCAAGGGGCTCTGGCTGGGGAGGGGGCTGCCTGGGCATGCCTGCCTGGCAGAGCTGGCTGAGGGGTGAAATGGAGGGGGTTCTGCAGGCAGCTGCCTCTAGCAAGAAATGGCTGGTTGCCATGGCAAGGCGAAGAAGGATCGCTCCCGTGCATCCCCAAGACAGGCCTCGGGTCGGTGAAGGTCTGCTGCCAGTCCCAGGAGCTGTGGTGAGTCGTGCATCCTGGCCCATCCCTGCCACGCTTCTCCAGATCCTGCCTCCAGATCTCCTGGCTCCCTGCCTGTCCCTGCCTCCACCTCCCTTCGGGATGTCCAGCACACTGAAGCTCTTTGCTTTTCTGCAACACTGCCCTGCACCCTGTCAGCTTCTACCTTTCCTTTCCATGTCTCTTCCTTTCTGGCTCCCCATCCACCATTATTTCATTCTTCTCACACTGCTTTCTTCCCCAGGGCTTGGGTAAACTGCAGCTCCAGGTCTCCCTCTACCCAGCGACCTGTGTCTGTTTTCAGTGACTCCCTCTGCTCTGCACACCACCATCGCCCATCCAACGTCCTTTCACTGGGAGTGTCTACCCAGCTCCTCTCCTGATGTTTAACTCCTTACCCGTATGGCCAGTACCCTGTTGCATTCTCAGTTTTCTCTCTATGTCTACATTCAACGAGTTCCCTGACAGAGTTTTTTATTTCTTTCTGCCTGTCTTTTATTAAGTCACTTTTAAAAATTTCTTTCAATGTCTTTGTCTATTTAGTTTGCCGAGTCTCTTTTTAGTGTTTTTCCCTCTGTTGCCTTTGCTTTTATAATTTTCTTACCACGTCAACTATTTATTTGTAAGATTCTTAATGCCCTCTTTTACAGCTCCAATCCTCCATTCAAGTGCCCAAAGCCCTATATTCGGGACCAAAGCCCCATTCCTGGGGGCCACAGAGGAACCAAGACGTTCCCCTCCTTTGTGGGGTCTAAAGTGACCTCTGTAGCACCCAGCCCATCTTTTACAGTTCCCAAAGCCCCATTTTTACATCTGAATTCTTCATTTTGAGGGCCCAAAGCCTTGTTTTTGAGCTTCCAGAGACCCATTTTCCGGCTGCACATCCTTAGTGTTTGGGACCACAGAATCATTTGAGGGAATAAAACTTTTTGTCAAGGTTCAAAGTCTCATTTTTATTTCCCAAGCCTCCTTTGCAGGGCCCAAAGGCCCATTCTTAAGGCCCAAAGCCTCATTTGGAGCATCCAGACTCTCATTTACAGGGTCCAAAGCTCTCTTTTACAGCACAAAGCCTCCATTGGAGCACCCAGTGTGCTGTTTCAGGGACCAAAACTGAATTTCATGGGGAAATTAATGAACCAAGAATTCTCCCTCCTTTTCAGGCTCCAAAGCCACATTTTGAGCATCGAAATCATCCTTTGTAGTGCCAAAAGCCTGCTTTTTAGGGCTCAAATCCTATTTTTTAGATCTCAAGATGTCTTTTATGACCTATAGCCTTTCTTTAGCACCCACAGTTTCATTTTGAGGGTCCAAATCCTTACTTTTAAGGCAGAAAGCCTCTTTTTAGGCTCCAGAGCTACATTTATAGTGTCCAAAGGCTCATTTTTCCTTTTCAAGGTCTCAAGTTTTGGCTTCCAAAGCCTCATTTTTCTGGTCAAAAGGCTTAGTATTAGTTTTCAAATCTCCTTATTAGTGCCCAAAGCCTTATTTTCAGCATCCAAAGTGTAATTTTTAGGATCCAGCCAGTCATTTTCAGGGTCCAAGCTGCTTCTTGAGTTTCCAAGCACTCATTTCCAGGGTCCAAACCCCTCTTTTAGGGCCCAGAGTCTCATCTTCAGAGTCCAAAGCTTTGATTCTTGCATTGACGTCTGTCTTTGTAGGGTCAAAACCCTCATATATAAGGTCCAAGCCCAGCCTGTAATCTGCAAAAACTCATCTTAAGGGCCCAGAGTGTCATTTTTAAGGCTCAAAGTCTGAGTTTGAAGGTCCACAGCTTCATGTTAGAGTGTAAACCTACAGTTTCAGGGCAGAAAGCCACTGAGAAGCTTGTGGAGGAGAGACAGCTCAATTATCTGACACAGATGGAGCAAGCATGGAGGCTTGGAGAGTGTTTGGACAGATCTCCCAACTCCAAGGGCTAGTGCTGGGCAAGGGTTGCCCGGGCGACGGGTCACAGCAGGGCAGTTTGTGACCTCACTTTGTGACAGCCCGTGGTGCCGCGTGTGACAGCCCCTTCCCTGCAGTGTCCGTCAGGACAGGGCGGGAGTGCAGGATTGGCAAGGAGCCCCTGAGCGCAGCCTGCATCTCTGCCTGCTGCCCCTGCAGCGCCAAGGCGTTTCTTTGCGACTTCCCTCTCCCCACCCCTAACCCTTTCCTCCACCCTTTCCTCCATCCCACAAGATGGCAGAGGAGATCCCCAGCTGTCCCAGGGTGGCCTGGGCGGAGAACAGCAGGTCTCCCCTGGAGCCCCGGATGTCCATGATCCAGCCGCTGTGCAAAGGTGAGTGAGGGGCCTCCATGCTGGGGGTAGGGCCTGGGCCAGCAAGCGTCCGGCTCAACGCTGGGATCCCGTGGGCGTGGGGCACAGTGGAGCGCTGGGTCAGCTCAGGGCTGGGAGCCCCAGCACAGCTTTTCCCAGGGTGGGGGCGAGCAGAGGCGACCCAGCTCCTGCTCCAGGGGATGGGCAGCGGGAGGCAGCTGGGCTGGCAGGAGGTGGTGATGCTGCAGCACGTGGATCTTTCCAGCCCATCTGCAAGCGAGTTCCTCAGTGTGGTGAGCCTAGGTCTTTCCCCGCTGCATCGTGCTGCAGCATCGCAGCCCTTTTTCTGGCACCCTCAAGCCCAGAAACCCCCAGGGAAACTGTGCCTGAGGAGCGGGCACTGGGCTGAACAGAGGGCCGAGCTCCTTCTTCTGCTCGCTCCTGCCTTGGGGCCCTCTCTGCAGCCCTCCCTGCTCTCCTCCTTGACTAGATGCAAGCTGGTTAGCTGTGTATGAAGAGGAAGAGCAAACTGTACGCAGCATCTGGGTTTTCCTCAACAGTAAAGAACAGGTAACCGTGGTCATTTCCCTGGTAGCTGTGCCTGCGTCTCCTGACAGCCCCCCCAGCTCTGCTGCCTGGCTGCTGGAGGGCTGCTGGCTGTGCAGAGCAGCACCTCCCAGGTCTCCCGACAGCTACCGCACCCCCAGTGCTCCGGTCATGCTGGCCATGTGTCTCCCCCTTTGTCTCCCTGTCCCTCGGCTGCCAGGACGAGGCCCAGAAGATCAATTTTCTGAGAAGCAGCAGCAAGCTGTGCAGAGCCGCCAGGCACAAGGACTTGTTGGAGGGCCTGGACATCTTCTGCTACAGATACAAACTGGCATTGTGTATCAAGGTGAGGGGACACCCAGCAGCACTGGGGAAGGGGGCCAGGCTGCCAGGCACTGGCACGCTGTGACAACAGTGCTGAAGGGGGGAGGAGGTGGTGGCAAGCGTGTGTAGACACCAAACTGCCCCTGAGGGAATGCAGGTGCTGTGGAGAAGCCCTTCCAGAGGAGAACCCAGCACCAGGGTCGGGAGGGAGGCTATTTTGGGGGCCAGCACTGGGGTGAGGGCAAGGGGGCTCCATCAGCCCTGCCGACCAGCGCCAGGTCTGGTGGCACGGGGTGCTGGCAGCTGACAGGTCCCATCCCGGTTGTGCTCTGCAGGAGCAGGAGCCCAGGGACCACCTGCACACGGCAGTGCGGCAGCAAGCCATGCTTGCCATTGCCGCCTTGAGGCACCAGCCCAGCCCCTGCTTTGCGTGGCACCTCTCCACAGCCAGCAGCCCTGGGCCAGGGGGGGCATCACCCGTCTGGGCAGAGCCAGACGGTACTGACTGCAGGGCCTCTGCTCTCCCCTGCTTGGGGCTTGTCCAGAGAGCGGGAGGCATCAGGACTGTCCTCTGGCCCAGGGCAGTGTCAGGGAGGGAGGGGTGCCTCCAGGCAGGGCTCCCACACCACAGCCTCCGTCCTTCCCAGGGGCCCCTTCCCCAGAGGTGCCTTGGGGCACCGCTCCCAGCCCCTGTGCCCGACAGGCCCCTCTCTCTCTTTGCAGCGCCTTGCAGATGGTGCTGGAGGGCGAAAAGAAGCACCTCTTAAGCATCTGCTTCAAAAGAGTCTTCTGGCTTCCTCCAAAAGAGGACATGCAGGGCCTGGACACTTCCCTCTACCAGAAGGTAAGCGCTGGGTGAGCTGCAGGAGCTCT